TGTTTTTATTGCAGTTCTCAGATAGTTTCGAGGAGGTATCGCCTAAATAAGTCCTCCAGGAATTTATCGTCTGGTAGCTGGTTAATTGAAGCAGCAAACGAGGAATGTCGAGACCAAGGCCCAGACATAACACCAGGGGGCCTATTCTCGACACTGGGGAAACATCTCCCATGATCGTAATCCATCCAGGAACAAATGAATTCGTCCATCACTTCCGTTTCAAAATTTCACTCACAATTTTTCTCCATTCACTACACATCACATTTCCCAATAATAAAAACTCCAAAAAAAAAATCACGAGTTTTGAGTCCCTCACCTCTCTATCAGTAAGAAAAAATTTATTCCGCGCACTATTGATTTTTCTCCTGGATAAAATCAACGAATTGAAAAAAATAATATTTCCGATCAAAAAATACCCCCCGGGGGGTACAATTCTTTCAATTGAATGCCAGAGAATTTCATTACAATATTATTTAGTCCACGGCCTCTCAAAAATTTAATCCATCCACGTAGAGGCACGCGTGACATGAATATTAATCACTTGCGCGCGTGTCTATTACTCTCAATGTCTACCAATCCATAATTTATCTACCGACTATATACACCACTGATGATAATCGGAGGGATCGATTAGCGAATCGACAGTTCGTGTATTATTTTTTCTTCTCTTTCACTCTTTTTTAACTGATTTTCCAGTTCACTCGTTGCACGCGAGAATCGCGAGAATCGCGAGAATTCAAACAATTCCACAATTCCACATATTATCACCATTTTTCACTAAAAAAAAAAATAGTTGCTCCCTTTGAAGTGGAATTAATCACTTCCACGAACGAAATTCCATCCTGAAATCAACAGTTTTTTTAATATCGATTGCTATCGATTGCTATCGATTGCTATCGATTGCTATCGATTGCTATCGATTGATAAAATTACGATAAAAATGGAATCGATAGATGAATTTATTTAGTGTAGACCGATTGAAAAAAGAAGAGATAATTATTATAAAAATGCTCTCACGCGTCATTTCCTTTTTATTTTGACGTATTGGAATTCAATACTTGATACGCTCTCTTCGTTATTCACTCCAAGTCTCGTTTGGAATTTATTATATTACTATTCGCGATCCAGTGAAATAATAAACAATGGATAAATTTTTCCGAAATGCGTGGGAGTCACGAGAATAACAATGTCTGACCCAATTGAAATTTAAAAAATGATAAACTCAATGGAATAATAATGTTCTTGGAATTATTATTTTGAAATGTGACAAAAGATGAAATTCTTGTTGCACCGGATCATAAATTGGTGGATAGTGTCCACATTCTGAGAATTTACTTTATGGTACGTCGACAGCGGTTTTAATACCCTCCGTCTAGGAATGAATTATTGTTGGTATTAACTGCACTTATATCTCACGAAAAACTTAAAAATTTTCCTCTCAAAATATACGAATAGACACCGTCTATCCTGAATGGATTATGAGTTTAAATTTCTGATATATTTATATTTCAATAAAAATGAAATAGAAATTATTTCACAATTTCATTCAATTTCACCTTGCAATTGATTTTTCAAAAAAATGATTTTTCAAAAAAAAAATTTTTCAATATCAAATAGAATTCACTTCCAAATAAATTAAAAAATTAAAAATAATAAATATCATTGTTGTTAAAAATAATTATTGCACAAGGTGTATCGCCCTCTAAAAAATATCGCACAACGAAAAAATTTTTCAATTAAAAAAATCTCACCCCAATCCCAGAAAAAATCCATGACAAACGTCCAATTATCCCGAAAAAATTTTCGCTTTCCACACAGTCTGAGCTGACAAATCTGCAAGGATTTAAATTCCATGAAAGGACGAGGGGTTCCAAGGCAAATGGCGGACAATATCTATCCATTATATATCACGCATGTACAATCCCCTTTGTTCCAACTCCTAAATAACTCTCGATGATGCAGGAGACCTTGACGAGACAAGCTCTTCCTGAGGGTGTCGAACATATTCATTTGATTGGAGTGTCCCAGGTCCCTACCACCATGCACTTGACTTCCCTTCCTAAACCAACCCCATAATAAAAATACTCACGCACGCATAAACCAAAAAATGTAGAGAGAGAGAGAGAGAGAGAAGAAGAAGAAAAATAGGGAGAGAAAAAAATCGGAGATAAAGGAGTAGAAGAAGCACTTGAAAGGATCCATGAGAAGTCTGAATGGAGGGCTTAAAGGAAGAAACAATATCACGCGAGAGAGGATTGAAAAGGCCCACTGGCTTTTTCTCTCTTCTATTTTTTTTTTTTTTCTTGTTATATACCTGACGATACCGTGTTGTACACGAACGCTTGGGGGATTGCATTGTTGTATCAGTGAGTGGAGTCTGTTGGATTGCAAGAGGCTTTTCAACCCCTGGATGATGGCTCGTGCCATATAAGATCAGCCCTCTACTTTATTTTCTTTATTCCAAGAAATGTCCTCTCAAAAGAGCTCTTTTGTCTGAGCCCATGAACACTCATTGCCAGCTACTGTCTCCAACATTTGAGTACATCCACCTAATTGGATTCAATTTCAATCGGAGAGTTGAAATATTGTCGTTGAAAAGATGAGAGTGGAAAATAATGTATCACTGAGGTTTTATCCCGGGGTGAATCCAATTATGCACTTTCGTTGCTTTTCAGATTGCATTTTGTGGGATAAATCTGTTGATGGGAGTCAAACTTCAATGTGATGAGATTTTTTTTTTTGGCGATCGGGATGAGTCTTTCCACTTGGTTCGAGACAATTATTTTTTGAAAATTTGGATATCTTCCATTTTGAAAATTCCCGGGAAAAATCGTGAGTTCTAAGTAAGCGGACCTCTCGATTAGGCCGAAAAAAGATGGAATTCAATTGAGAGATGGAAATAATTTTTTTTTTATTTGATGAAAATTTTTTTTTTTTTTAAATCGATGAAAATAATTTTTTTTGAAAATTCCCGGGAAAACTCGTGAGTTCTGAGTAGCGGACCTTTCTATCAGTCCGCAAGAATATTGAATTCAATTGAGAGATGAAAATAATTTTTTTTTTCAAAATTCGATAAAAATATTTTTTTTTCGAAAATCGATGAAAATGAATTTTTTCGAAAATCGATGAAAATGGTTTCTCTTGAAAATTATCGGGAAAACTCGTGAGTTCTGAGTAGCAGGCCGCTCTATCAGTCCAAAAAAAAAATTCAATTTAATTCAAAAATGAAATAGAATTTTTTTCCAGAAATTTTCGGAAAATTTGGAAATTTGGAAATTTTCAAAAATTTAGATATCTTCCATCGTGAATGATTCGACTCCATTTTAAGACTTGATTCATGTGAATTTTTCACCTTGACTCGTGTCAATTTTTCAACTTGACTCACGTTGCATTCCTGACTTGACTCACGTGGAATTCACGACTTGATTCAAATCAATATCGATTGGCGCCAATTCCCTCATCAGACTTGATTCAATTTGATTTATCCCACAGATCCATCAACATAAGTCAATCTCCAACGAGATGATGCGATTTGTTGTAACTCAGAACGAGACAACCCAGACAAATCCCTCTCGAAGAATTTTCAAAGCATCAACAAGACCAGAGAGATGGATAATTCGATCGAGTAGTTGGTGAACGTGCCGTTGATTAGATTTACTGACCCCTCTTCATTGTCCACCAGTACGTTGGATTTCGAAAAGTTGTTGTGTGTATTCAACCCATTGTCGTGAGCAAAGCCTCATCGGTTAGCCCTCAATTGTCCCCCAAATTGCCATGAATAACTTTGACATTGAAGGTCTTGTGAAGCTAACTGTCGAACCGCAATCGCCATTTTCCATTCAATTTAGGGGATTTAGTTACGGACTTGTGCTTTCTGATTCAATGTGGATCAACCGTATCATTTTGACTCGCACTGATCCAGTGAGGATGTTGACAATTCAACAATCAAATGCCCCTTCAAATTCTTCTGATTGTCAAGAAACAAAACATCAATTCAATTCCATTTGTTCTCATAAAATTAATGACTTGTACTCATGGAATTAATCCAAAGAAATCAGTCATCTCTATCATCTCTATCATCTCCATCATTTCCATCATCTCCATCATCTCCATCATCCCCATCATCTGGACAACATAAACCGGAAGAAACAATTTTGAGAAATAATTGTTGGATGATTTAACCTTGATCATCATGTTCATACAATTTCATCGCTCACAGCAGGAAGTAAAAACATTTCACCGCGGTGTATCAGCCATGATTTGCACCCTGGAGCAGTTACGAGTGAGGGAACGACCCAGCAGGGACAATTCAACGTTAACTTGCCAGTATCTCCTTCATCCTTATGTTGTACCTCTCAATTCCTCCCCCTAGTAACTTTCTCATTTTGTTATACAGTGTATGAAGGGAGTCGATATTGCGAAATGCCCGGTTTACCACCCTCACGATCCAAGTGGAGCATGAGACAACCTAACACGAGAGATTGCCTATATTGATAACAACTCCGCCTTCAACTCGACCCTCAAGTTGTTTCTCTCTTTGGTAAATTCGGTTGACGCCCAAACGATTTTGCTATTGAAGATTTTCTGGGGAGTGGCAAACGGTTATTCCTCTCTGCCTTTAAAAATATTTCTCTTAATCTCAATTTACACTCCAGAGTGAATTCAGTTCCTGGGAAATTGTTGGGGGCTGTCTCCAGCTGAATCAATACCGCAAACCGATGCAAAATAGATGAATACGAATGAAGCAATCGGTGAAGTTCTCCTGAATGAATAATCAACGGAATGTGACAATTCTCGATAATTCTCGAAGCCTTTCGGTAATGTTACGATAATCAAGATGATAATTTATTCTAATGACACAATCATCAATGATGGCAATGTGGCCTCGATTTCAATCACTTTCGTTGATATTTGGCAGGCGTTCAAGGACTCTGTACATCATGTAATCCTTTCAACTTGCACGATCAATTGTCATTGACTCAGTGGATGAGTTGTGATGGTGTTTGGCTGTTAGATATTGTCTTCTCCATAAACAGTGTCACGTCAATAATGTCGATGACAGTCTCATCACGTATCAAGAATCAATGCCGATGTTTGCCGCATGAAATTGGTATAAAAGCAATGGTGGAGGTGCAGGTGGCATCAATTGTCTCAACTACCATTCAGTGTGAAGTATCAAGTTGTACGAATCATCAAAAAATCATCAACATGCAATTCTTCGCTGTGAGTACATCAAAGTGTATTTGACGTTTGTGTTTCTAAAAATTTCCTCTCCGTCAAGTTGAAATTTCAGGTTTAATTCCCTTTTCGATTTTTTTTTTTTGCGTGATGACTTGATTTATTTCAAATTTTTATTTGAGTCAAGTTGATTTTTCCCTTTTATTCAAATTGAATAGCCCATTTTTTTATTCGCTATATTCAAATCCACTTTTTGATTTGATTCAAATGGAATTCACGATTTGATTCAAGTCGTAGTAGGTCTGAGTTAAATTTTCAATTTGATTCAGGTCCAGTCCCACTTGATTCAAGTTGAATTTAAAACTTGATTCAAGTCAATGCTACAACTTGATTCAAGTTGAATTGAAATCTTCGTTTTCAACTTGATTCAAGTCGCATAAATAAAAAAAAAAATCGAAAAATTGAAATTTCAGAAGATGCAATTTTCCCGCATCCAAAGATTCACCAATGACTATTGCCTAATCCAATATCCTTTCCCGAATTCAATCAAAAGATATTCCTGACTGAGTAATAATGGATGATTCCTGTAGCACTTAAATTTCCATAATATCCACAGATCGTTCTCCTGGTGATAGCCTCGGCGGCAGTCACCCTGTCGAAGCCAACCGAGGCCGAGTCTCTGGAGCCACTGAAGTCAGTATCAATTACTCGAGAGACACCAGTTGTACCCCGTGACAAGCGAGGACTCTTGTTCGGTGGTGCATACACAGCTCCAGTTGCATACACCTCAGCATACAGATCACCAGTGGCTTACACATCGTCATACAGCTACGGATACCCCTACGCCTACTCTGCATACCCCTATTACGCCTCAGCCTATACCGCCCCCTACTACTTGGCCTAGATTCCAACAATTCAATTTTTTTTTTCTTCCTCATCTCCCCCTCACTCAATTCGTACTATTTCAACAATGGGGTATTGACTGACTTCTTCGTCCAATATATTCGCCATCCCTCCAATATACATCTACAGCTCTCTGTCGTACACCGGGATATACCACCCCATACCGAGATGCACGTCACCAACGAGTGAGAAAAAACGACTCAATTGACTTATCGATTTATGTACTCGAGCGCATTGTCATGGATTTATTCCCCATTTGTTTTTCTTTTTTCATATACGTATTTTTTTTCTTTGTGAAATTTTTTTTTCGTGTGAAGAGTAAATAAAGCAAATTTCCATAAAGTTTTGACATTTGCTATTTATTTATAGAATTAATAAAAATTCTACATTTTTTCTCCGAAAAATTTTCATTTCAAAATTCGCGAGTGAATGGAAAATAAATCGTCATTATTTTTTGTGTTGTATTATCATATCATACATTCCCACAAAAATTGGACAATTGATACCTTTACAAAAATTGGACAATTGATACCTTTACTTTTCTCACGAAAAAAAAAAAAAATCGTTCATTGAATTTCGAGTGAAACTTTTGACTTTTAATTCGCGTCGGATTTGTTCGTGCGATATTTTTTTGGAGGGGACAACCGGGGCTTTGAAAATTTTTTTTTTAATGATTTTGATTTGTAAAGTTATCCAGGGGAGAGGGTAATACCTCGTTGACTAACACCTCACGTTTCACGGGAGATTTTACTCGACGTCTTTCAACCCCTCGTTTTCGCCCCCTCCGACGCTCTCGAGGGACGCCTACGTATTATACGGTCACGTGAGGCTCTCAAGAGGGAATGTGAAAATACATTTCTCTCGTTTTCGCTTCGATAAGCAAAAGTGCACATTAAAAAAAAACACATCCTAAAGAGGGATTTCACAGTTAAAGTTATTCAGTACCTTGAGCTCCAGGAGTTGACAACGCCGAGTGCCGTCAGACCACGCCTCGTACAACCCCTGATTTTCCACTCTCGATATCAATATTTAAATCACTGTGTATTAATTATCACTAGGGTAATGCACCCGAAGATGGGGAAGGCATCGACGTATCACTTGAGGGAATACGCACCCTAAAACAAAAAAAAAAATAACAACAATCAATCAATTGTAAAAATAAAAAAGTTGACAGGAATTTAAAAAAATTTATTCACAAATAATATCTGTGAAAATACCTCTATAAAATGGTGAACTAAATGAAATCACTAGGGCTCGATGAAATGCATTAATTGGATAGTAATAAAACGGAAAAAATTGTCGAAAAATTGATGAAAAATTGATTTTGGTAAATTCGTCGAAAATTGGGGGATTGAATTTTTTTTTCGGTTCAAGACGGATTATTGAAATTTAATGACACCACAGATTTCACTGATATTCAATTCTAGTTTAATTAATTGAGCGTTTGTTTTGTACGGGATAAAAAAAAATGGAAGACACGTGGATTACACGAGGTACACTGTTTATCTTGTGATTAATTGGATAGAAGAATGAACGGAGTCGAATTACTTGGGGTGTTTTTTTTATTTTTTTATTATTCACATTGTGTTGTCGGGTGAGTGAGGGATTTTCTTGTTCAGGGATAAAAGCGATTTCCGGTGTGACGCGTGTCCGAGTCAACGCGCGACTGGGATGTTTTAATGTTGCGGGAGGGTTGAGGTAAGAGAAAACGCCGGGTTCCACTGAGTTTGCGCGGTTAAATAACCGACAGTTCACCTCGGGGTTAATCTCGATATCAATTTTATTTTCACCCAGATAATCGAAGAATAAAGAAAATAATTAAGGGCTCTGTAATTTCACCCCTCGCAATCTTATTTTGAGTTTAAAATTTTACGGATAATTTTCGGTAATTTATCTCATTAATATGATTTTTTTTTTTATTATGTGGAATTTTAGAAAAATTTGAAGTTGAGAAATTGTGGGTCTAATGGGGAGGGTAATTGAAAATTCAACTGAAGTTGAAAAATATTTAATGGCGAAAAGATGATGGAGAAATTCCTAGAGATGGAAAATAAAAATAAAAGAGAAATATTCCCGAATTAAATAACCGACGGTTCACCTCGGGGTTAATCTCGATATCAATTTTATTTTCACCCAAATAATCGAAGAATAAAGAAAATAATTAAAGCTATGTGAAGTTGGCATCGAAGTTTGAAAAATCTAACTTTTTTTTGTTGGTTTGGATTGTACTCATTGAGTACTTGAATGTACCCTGTGCACTTTTTTTTGTACCCTCTTACTTTAGCCCTGAAGCAGGGGGGCAAAATCGTGCAGAATCGGAGTTCAAGAAAAA